GCTTATAGCCATATTCATATTCGTGATGGTTGGAAAGTAATATGCGATTCTTGACAAATCGTTCTTTCGCGAAAAGTTGCTTTTCTTGGCACGCTTATGGCTCTTATTGGCTGCTCTCCGGCTAACGGAAAAGTACCATTTTTTTCCAGTTTTTAATCATTTAATCATCACCATCATCATTATCTCTATCACAATCCTCATTTGCTGATCGGCATTGAGTACATTAGAGATAAATAGGTAAGAAAATAACTTGATCAAGCAATATGAAACTGCAAATCACATCTACATATCGTATCACAAGCATCAAAGAGTTTTTTTTTCCTTACAACATCAAAGGGGGAGGGTTAATTATGTAGGTATATGTAATAGCAAGAGGCAGTGAATTCTTCTTTTATTTGTTTTCAAATTAGAAGAGAACAATTTTAACTGCTAACAGCTATTAATAATTGATTCTTTAAAAAAAGTTGTTTAGCTATAATGTTTAACAATAAGAAATATAATTAAAAATTCCGATATATGAAATTTCATACGTTTAGATGAGATTTTATGCAAGTTGATGCTAGAATAACTACATTTTTTGTACAAAATACTTCTTTTAAATATATTAAGACTTCAGGACATTTTTTTTTCTTACTATAAGAGAGAGTAAAGGGTACACAGTAAAAACTAATAATTATAGCAAGTTTAAAGCACAAATGTTTGTGAAATATTTACTGGAACTGTAACCTAATGAAAACATTGCGTTCATCAAATTTAAAATAATTATGATTCAAACCAAGAAATGAATGTATTGTTAACAGAATCTCTTTGAATTACTCTAAATAAAAGTCATGTAAAAAATATAGTTATAAATTTTTAAAAACCACAAGTTGTTTGCCTCATTGTGAATATTGTACTATTATTTAAAATATTTTGTTTGTATTTATCTTTTATAAATATTTTATTACCGCTGAAAGTAAAATATTTATAAAAGCTTAAAATTAAATATAAATCTTTTGAATATATTTTATAATTGCTGTAAGAATTTAATTTAAATTCATTGGGAATATTTAACGATTGCTTACTAATTTGTATCTTTCGAAAATATCTAACGATTGCTTAATTTAATTTGAATCTTTTGAAAATATTTAACAATTGCTTAATTTAATTTTAATCTTTTGAGAATATTTTACGATTGTTGAAAAAATTAATTTGAATCTTTTGACAAATTTTTTCGGTCATTGAAGGGACTTAAATGAGCTTCTTTTAATAAATGAATCTCTTTTCAGAAGTGATAAAAAATTCCAAGAAAGAGACTTAAAACATTTCATAAATGGTCTTCTTTTTTTTCTTAAGTTGTAATTCATATGTTAGAATAAAAATGCATTAAAATATAAACAATTCTTGTTACAATTGTATTTTTGTTTAAAAAAACTTAATTTTATTACATTTTAATTACTTTAAAAATCAAACATGTGAGTTTAAAAATTTTCTTAAATTCGTAAGTTATCTTAAGTAATTCAACAGAAAACTTAAACTTTAATTAAAATAAAACTCTTTGTAACTATTAGGCATTATATATA